AAAGGGGGGGGGGTGGAATCTGGAGCAAGGGCTCAGGGGTTAAGAGCACTGACTGCTCTTGCAGAGGACCCAGGTTCTGTTCCCAGCACCCATATGGGGACTCAACCATCTGGAACTCCAGCTCCAGGGGATCTGGCGCTCTGTCGTGGCCTGCAGAGAAGGTGCCAGCACACACAGTGAATACAGGCACATACAAGTAAAACCCTTATACACATGAAATAAAAATATTAAACCAGCAAACACACAGAAAATCAAAAGGTGGGCATGGTAGTTCATGCTTTTAATCCCAGTACTGGGAGGCAGGAGAATTACTGAGTTCAAACGCAGCCTGGTTTATAAAGAGAGCTGGGGGGGGGGGTGGCACACGCCTTGCCTTTGATCCCAGCACTCGGGAGGCAGAGGCAGGCGGATTTCTGTGAGTTCGAGACCAGCCTGGTCTACAAGAGCTAGTTCTAGGACAGGCTCCAAAACCACAGAGAAACCCTNGTCTCGAAAAACCAAAAAAAAAAAAAAAAAAAAAAGGGGGGGGGGGCTCCAGAACAGGCAGGGATACAGAGTGACCTGTCTCATAAAACAACAAAACAAAACAAAATTCAGGGTTGCAATAGGGTTCAATGGCTGGGTAGTGGTGATGCACTGGGAGGCAGAAGTAGGTGGAAAGCAGTGAGTTCAAGGACAGCATGGTCTATGGTCTATAGAGTGAGTTCCAGGACAGCCAAGGTTGCTCTGTCTCAAAATAGTCAAAAACCAAAACCAAACAAACATAAAAAACCAAACCAAAACAACAATAAAACTTAAAAACCCAACACAACAATATGGTTCAATAAAAGCACAGGCGTTTGCTGCCAACCCTGATGCTGGTTCTCAGAACCCAGGGGATGGACAAAGAGAACTGATCCCTGGTCAGTTTTTCTACCCTTTGTAGGCGTGTCCACACAAATTCACACCTAAAGCAAATAAAAAAGTTATAATCCTTTTTATTAAAAAAATTGAGGGGGCTGCTATCCAGCAGTTAAGAGTGCTTCCAAAAGATGACTTCAGTTCCCAGCATCTCTAACAGGTGCCCCAACAGTGCCTGTAACTCCAGTTCCCGGGGTCGAATGCCATCTTCTTACCTCTGCAGGCACCAGCACACACATGGCACATGCGCACATACACACACACACACACAGATAAAATAAATCTAAAACAAATAATAGACTCAGCACTAAGTGGTGACGGCAGAGCCAAGAGAGAGAGGGGCGCTTCTCGGGTGGGGGATGTGCCCACACAGGCTTCTATCTGATGCTCCAAGAGGTCCTGCTCTCTGTGAACCCACCACAGGAACACAGATGCCAGTCACTGCTCATGTCCCTGCCCACCTGGGTCAGCTGCTGTTCAGAGGCAAAGCCTAGGCCATAGACAGTGTTGGCTCGACTGTCTGCCCACTGCCCAAACTTCTGCGAGGTTTTGGTGAAGGTCATGTTGGGGGTGACTGTGCTGTTGATGATGGCCTGGGGATGAGGAAAGCAAGATTTAAGATCAGCAGGAGTGATAACGACCATCACCAGCAGCCTGCCTTGGACTACACAGTGGATTAAAAAAATAATTCTAGGCACCTGTCTCAGACTCAGTAGAAAGTCCCCACCCAGAATCTCCCAGAGGCATGACTTATGGGCCGAGCCCCGCCTCGGATCCCTCAGTGTGAGACTGAGTAGAATTCTTGGTGCACTGAGGTCTAGTATCCCCATCGTGACAATAGCGATGAAAGTCTGAGTGGATGAGGCCCCTGTGAGAGCCCCTGCTGAGCTAGGTCCCAGAAAGGCTCACTGATCCCCATTCCCTAAGTTACCCAGCCTCACATCCGGCTGTTAGCCCCGCCCCCGGCCCTGCTCAGACCTTGGCACCCCCGATGCTGATGATGCGGTACACGTTTCGGGTGGCATCGTAGAAATAGGACACAGTGAGTGCGTGCTTGCCCGCTGGGATCCAATTCCGCTTGGTAGTAGGGTCGATCTGGAAGACGTGAGCCCGGGTGCTGAAGATTGGCTGTTCCCTGAAGGAGGGAACAGAAAGTCTGTAGGAGCCCGGCGGTGGTGGTGCACGCCTTTAATCCCAGCACTTGGGAGACAGAGGCAGGCGGATCTCTGTGAGTTCGAGACCAGCCTGGTCTACAAGAGCTAATTCCAGGACAGGCTCCAAAACCACAGAGAAACCCTGTCTCGAAAAACCAAAAAAAAAAAAAAAAAAAAAAAAAAAAAAAAAAAAAAAAAAAAAAGAAGGTCTGTAGGGGCTGGTCACTTACAGCTAGGTCTGACCAGAGTAGGTGAGTGCTCACCTGGCTGTGGACATTGGTCAGGCTGAGCTGGATAGCATCTAAGGGGCACCCAGGGAGGTGACAGGAACCACTTGTTTGGTCTCTGGGGAGCAGCGATCCAGGGGTGCTCAGGCCAAGCAGGCCCTCCAGATGACTCCTGCATAAAAGCAGCAAGAAAGGAAAGGGGCAGAATTGGGTGATCAGAGCAGTAGTCACCGACAGTCTTAGCCCAGGCTGGCCTTGAAATCACCACGTGGCCAAGAATGCTTCTCTGGGCTCTGCTTCCCAAGTGCTGGGGTGACCAGCCTGCCCATCACACTCAGTCTCTGTGGTGCTGGGATGCAGCCCCCATATCTGGGCTGAGTGGTCTCTAGGTCTCTAGTGTCACCAGAGAGGTGACAGAGCGCCACCAAACTGCCTGGGCATGCGAATGCCATCCTCACCCTCCAGGTTACCAGCCACCAGGAAAGTGTCCTCCCACGGGAACTGGGCATGAGGCCAAGATCAAGTGAGTGACACATCTTATTCACCCCTTCCCATCTGACAGCCCCGCAGAGGCCTCGCATCAAAAGTGGGACAAAGCTGGACCAGTGGTGACTAAGGCGGTTAGACCACGCATCCCAGGAGTTCAAGGCCACCCTGGACAGCACCACCATAGACCCCCATCTCTGAGAATAAAAGGGGCGCTTCCAGGGGCCAAACCCGGAACTTAGGAACTCTCTGCTCCCACAAAAGAACCACTTAGCACACACCCCAAGGGCAAGGCTACACCTTGGAGTCCAAGTCAAGCCTCCAGGGGGCCCTAGCCTATTTAAAATGAGGGGCTGGAGATGTAGCTCAGCGGCTAAGAGCACCGGTTGCTCTTCCAGAAGTCCTAAGTTCAATTCCCAGCAATCACATGCTCACAACCATCTATAATAGGATCTGATTCTCTCTTCTGGTGTCCCTGAAGACAGGTCACTCATATACATTAAATAATAATACATAAATATTAAGAAAACGGGACAAAATGAAAGTTTGGCAAGGTGGCACACATCTGTCATCGCAGCACTAGGGAGGATGAGGCAAGATTGTTGAGACTTTGAGGCCAACGTGGCCTCAAACAGGACCTTACCTTATCTCAACACACACACACACACACACACACACACACACACACACACACACACAATGCATGCACACTGGCTCATCCCAGTTCCCACCATGTGAGCAGAGAACAAGACTGGGAGAAGGGGGCTCCCCAGCCTCCTGTGGGTGCCTGTACCCATCACTCGGAAGTTTTGGATACCCTCCTGAACCCCCAAATCTGCACCCGAGGGGACTGGAGAAGGGTCCTGCTGATGCAGTAAGGCAGGGTCAAGCTCCTGAGGTCAGCCCCCCCCCCCATGTTGTCCTGGGCAGCCGCTGTCACGGTCACAGGGTCTGAAATCGGAGCCCCCCTAGAAGGGCAGCTCCACTCGAGTCGGGGACGCGATTAGGACTGGCGGAGATTGGGGAAAAGGGTCCCCGAACCCAGGCCCTTCCGGTCGGGCCGCTCCTGTCGGGACTTGCTGAGATCGGGAAAAGTTACTCACCAAGTAGTCACGCGCCTCGGAGCGGCTGCGCAGGGTAGGAGATTCCGATCGCTCGCGGCAGGGCTCCTGACAGAAGCCCGGCGCCCGAATCACACTTCGGACCGGTCCCCACCCGCTCCGGGGCAGCCAGTGCGCCCCAACTCTGGAAGCCGCGGACCCGCAACTTTCCAAGCAGTGGAGCCTCGCGATTCCGCGTCTCCGACACCCAGACCCGGGGCTGGAAAACCCAGTGCAGCTGCGCCCCCACGCCCCAGGATCCCAGCCCGCACCCCAAGACTCCAGCCAGCCCCTCAGCCTGCACCCTTTATCACCCCGGCTCCCCTGCACAGTCTGCAACTTTGGAAACCGGCTTCTCCACCGCGCTCCCTATGACCCCCATGCCCAGATCGCATCTCGGGAGCTGAGGTCCCCCTGCCCGGCTCACCCCGCGTCGCCGCCGCCGCTGCCTTCGGCCCGCGCGCTCCGCGAACCCCGCACCGCGCCTTTGTCTGCGCCGCCTCCGGTCCCATCGCGGCCAGTCCCCGCGCCGCCCCGCCTCTGCCCAGCGCCCCCTGCTGGCCGGCGAGTGAGGGCGGGAGGAGGGAGGAGACCCGGAGAAAGAAGAATGGGGGAGGGCGGACTGCGGAGGGGGGAGGGGGGCTCCAGCGGGACTCTGCGGAGGGGGTTGGGGGAGGAGGCCAAGAACTGCTAGTGAATGGAGCAGAGGGGAAATGGGGTGGGGTGAAGGGGCAGAGGAAGGGGAGGGCACCAGGAGGTCAGGAGGAGGGACTCCTGGGGTGGTGTGTGTGTGGGGGGGGGGGGGGGGGGGGGGGGGGGAAA